GACCTCATCAGGGGATAGGTGTTCCTCCCACAATCCTCTAGTGCACAGGTATTAGCATAAGGTATTAGCATATATGTGCACTAGAGGATTGTGGGGAGGAACACTTAGCCCCTGATAGGGGTCCTGCAGGGCACCTCAAAACACTGAGGAGCTCTCTTGGCTTCTGGCAGGACTGGGGCTATGCAGCCCTGTACTGAGTGGGAGGTGCAGCCAGGGGGTCACCATGACTTGGGGGGTTAGGGGACAGAATGGGGTAGGAGAGGAAAGGGCCATTCTAACTTATACCTTGCAAGGGAAATACTATGTCATAAAAATGGTTTTTTCAGGGGAGGCTCATCCACTGCACTTTGGGTATGTTGCTAATCCCTGTGATTTCCCTAAATGTGGCAAACTTAACTACATAATTTATGTTAATGAGGGGGTTAAATTTGTGATTTTTTAAATAATCTCTTTATCCTTTTGTTTCTGACTACTTTCACCACTCTTTATCATTTACATTTGCAGCTATAGCCCCATTGGCAATGCTTTGCAAGATGGTTTTGCTCTTTAATTGGAGCACATCAATGATATAAGACCTACTTTTTTATCCTAAAAAAGAGGGGGAGAAAGTGTATGCTGGTGGTTTTCCAGGAGGCAGACCCTAAAAAGTCAGCAACACACACTTTTGTCCTAGCAGCATATACTTTTTTTGGGATAAAAAAGTAGGTCTTATGTAACTAATGAGTACTAACTGGGGGCAACTATCTTGCAAAATAGGGTTTTAAAAAAACTGTCTTGCAAAGCAAGGACCTAAACATTGTCCAGTGAAAATTGCCCATAGGAATAATCATTTTGGGAAGCACAACATTGCTCTAAAAAAGTCACTGTCTAGCGAATGATCGTCTTGCAAGGCACCTGTGTATGTGTGTGTGTAGATATAGATATATAGAACAAGACCTTGAAATGACAGAAACTTACATATGTTCTTCCAATTCAACTATATATATATTCAACTATATATATAGTTGAATTGGGAGAAAAGGAATTATTGCACCTTTTGGGAGAGGAGATGTGTAAGAAAATAATTATACCAACTCCAGAGCTAATGTACAGGATACAATCATAAAGGATCTTATCAAGGAAACAAGGGGAATCCAGATCCAAAGCCTCCTACAACCCAGCCCACTTCTCAACACCAATGGGGGGTGGGGGTGGCAGAGGTTTTGCTGCAATGAAGAGACTTCCAGCAATGCAATCCTTTCTCCCTACAAGCAGACTGACAATCTCACTGGGCTCTAGGAGCAATTTCACTGCAACCATATAGCTGTGCCCTTAATTTTAATTCTTGCCTCTTTTGAAGCAGCTTTAGAAGGCAAGGGTTCTGAAAGCAACAAGATAACACACCTTTCAAAAACAAAACAAAAACATGTTTTATATTTGTCATTTCCATCCATATTCTCTCCCCCAACACTTCTGACATTTTTCAGTAGCAAAAGGTTGCTGGAAGTCTCTTCATTGGAGCAAAACCTCTGCCACCCCCACCCCCCATTGGTGTTGAGAAGTGGGCTGGGTTGTGGGAGGCTTTGGATCTGGATTCCCCTTGTTTCCTTGCAAAAAGCACATGACATTCACTAGCATTTTATTAATATACTGAATATGCTATTTAAATTGGAAAAATAACAAAATTAAACTATATGTAAACTATATAATTTATTCACAGTATGAAACAAGAACAAGACCTTGAAATGACAGAAACTGATTTTTTATCACATTGTGCAGACAGGAAATCCATTTTCTATAAGCAGCAAGTATTCATGTATATTACTGAAAAAGGTGAACTAATAAAGAAAGTGCAAAGGCATTTCCTGCTCAGTTTAAACATGTAAAAGTAAACAATGCGACATTGCCCACAATATCAAAAACTTGACTTGATCCTTGTAGGGACTGGCTTTTAAAAAGACATCAGTTGCACTGCTTGCAGGGAGATACTTGAACATCTAATGATACAAAACTTCAGATGGCTGTACTCTGAAGTCACTGCAGATATGTAAATTGTGGTGAAAATCTGAAGTGTCACAATACAGATCCTGAAAGAAGCTAGATATCCTACCCACCAAACACTGGTGCCATTAAAGGTGAACAAAGATTATCTGATATTCAAAGATGCCAGTTGTGCACCACTTGTTGCTGACAAGCAGCACTTTAAACACTTCATATGCCTGAAGAGAGCTCACCTTCCAATTGCTTCCAGCACTAAAGATGACCATCGTTGCAGCAAGCAGGAAAAACAGATTGAAGCAGGCAAAACAACTGAGTGCTATGTTACACTGCACTTCAAAAACCTGTTACATTTTTCTAATCTACTCTGATGCTTGAAAGTGCACGCTGGATGTTAGGGATTACTGCACACTGGTTTGTCTGCACAGAAAACTCCAGGATGGCCTCTGAACTCTGCAGTTCACGTATCATTTCCGAGTATTGCCTCTTTTACAGGACATTTATCCTCAGACACAGGACTGGCCAGCTACTTTTAAGTAGTCACTTCAGTTCTTTCATACCTTGGTATGTGATGCGAAGTATCAGATGTACTGGATGTCCTGCCTCTCTATCCTGAAGAAGTTTAGACTTCATGAACTTGTCAGACATATGGAAATCTGCTACAATAGTCAGCAACTTCCCCTATGCATCATTTCTCAGTCAACCTGCTCTGTTTTTTGTTATATACTATGGCATTTGTGTTAATAAGCAGGAAAAAGAGAAATGGTATATAAACAAGGAACTGGAATCAGATGTAGACATGCTTATAGCAGACTTGCAGAAATTAATGTGATTTAAGTTCCTCATGATCAAAGTCCCTTTCATTTCAGTGAGTCTGTTCTAATTCTAACTAAATCTGGACCCCACTTTGTGTATACTGCTCTCTCTCTCTCTCTCTCGGAGATAAAGAAGAGATCTGAGGCTGAAGCGTACTCTACAGGTCAAGAAGACGGACCCCAAAGATTGGTGTAGATATGGCATGACTTCCAGCCCAAATACATCTAGTTCATTTACTTTCTTCAGTACATGCATATATTTTTGAGGCAATTGTACTGGCTTACTTCAGTGGATGGAGGCAGCACAAAAAATGCAACAAGATTCATATATCAAACTGTTCCATCCAATAAATGAGGGGACAGCAAAGGACACAAATGGATACAGTATGGTTCCCAGACCTGTAGCAAATAATTGAACAGGGGAGAGATTATGAACCCAAGTCCTCATCAAAACCAGGTATCCCTTAAAATAACCAACAGAAAAAGTGATACAGTTTATCCTTTGCTATGTATGCATACATTCTTCATTCTTCAGTGTGAGGTTCCTTCCAGTGCAATTGCAGATTCTATATGTCTGCAGTGACAACTCTCAAAGTCTTATCGGAGTCCTGACCAGCTGTGCAGGTATGATGCCCACCCAGACGGTTGTGACGTACTTTCCTCCTCACCTTAAAAAAAAGGGAAACAAAAGCACTCTGGAATTAGACCCATCAAGACTAAATTACAGAACTGAAAACATAAATAAACTGACCAGTGCATTCAATATGCCTTAAAGTACCTGTGGAATTTCCCTTCTCTCTTTAAATCACAGAATTCTCCATTCAGGGAGTTCTACCTGCCAGATGATTGTGCTCATCTAGCCAGAGAAACGCTGAGCGGGAAGACCTAGGATAAGCCAAGCTCCAGCCTACTTCCCTGTTAGAAAAGGAAGCTGTTCCTGGTGCTTGCTGGGAAAGGCCAATAGGATGCAACAGTACAATATCATATTTTAAGGGCAACAAGTTTCCTCCTGCTAACTGCCAAAATCTGAACAATAATCTTTAGATCACAGGACATGCTCAAAGTCTCATTAAAAACGAGCACTTTTTTTTAAACAAGTTTCTCTGAAAAACAAAATTGGGTCACAGTATCCATGGTTAATTATTTTAGATAATTCTACTGTGAGGGGTTACAAACTTTTCCTTTTAGGAACCTCATGGCACAATGGCTAAACTGCAGAGCTAGAGTAAAAAAATCTGCTGACAACCTGAATTCAACCCCAACAAGCTCACATAACCAGCTCAAGGTAGACTCAGCCTTCCATCCTTACAAGGTTGGTAAATTGAGTGCCTCGCTTGCCGGTGGGGAGAGGACATAATTTAATTGTAGACCACCCAGAGGGTGCTTTAAACATGATGGTATGGTAAATAAGCAGCACACTTGGTTATTTGCTTTGAAGGCATTTTAATTTTTAAGCACTTTTTTTAGTCCAAAAAAGTGCAACTCTGTGAATGTTATTACAGGCCAAGAAAGAACCCCATTTCTTGCCATTTCTATCTTGCTGCATGCTTGCCACACACGGTAGCTGCACCCACCCCTTCCCCTTCTTCAGCAATGCCAACAGCAAAACAGCTTCACCTACCTTGTGCAATTGCAATCAGTTTTCCTTTTTCTTCTGGACTCAACTGCAACATGGTATCTATTACTGGAAGGAGCCTCTCTCTTTCACTGCCTGATTTCAGAAAGATAAACTGCAACAAGACATTCTTCAAATACTCCAGATTAGCAACAGATTTCTCTCGTTCTTGGTTCCTTTCTAAACGTCGTATTTCACTTTTCAGAAGCTGAGGGCAAAAAACAAAAAGCAGGACACATATGGATGAGGAGGAATCAAGCAAAGTTTTGGTGAAGACATAATATGGTGTAAGGAAAGACAAACATGCAGAGTTCTATACTGGATAAGTAGATTGAACAGTAGACAATACAACAGCTGAAATCCTCTTGTGCCACTTAACACTGTATAAGGCTGATGGTGTCATCAGCTCAGTGATATTTTGGAAAATGAAAATGTCCAATCTCTTCTTGAAGGTCCTGAAGCTCCCCGGGAGCCCTTTTATGATCAAGAAACAGTTGGTTACAGGATGTGGGGGTGGGATTCAATTTCTGAAGACTGCTCCGACTGGGATGATTTTACTGGCTGTAATGATTTTTGGAAATTAAAAGACTTTCCACAGCTTCCCAAAGGGGAGGGAGAGAACCAAACATTTTCAATTTCTGAAAAATTGGCAAGGCTGGTGATGTCATTAGCCATGGAGTCTGGCAACAGGATTTCACCCAATGATAGAAAAGAATCTTGTTAAAATTCATCCTGGTAAAATTCTGTCACAAGGAAGAATTTAACAATATGAATTGGCTTTTGAAACTGTCAGATAGGAGGAGCAAATCACTAGGAAAGAACCGTCTCCAAGAAACCAGCAATTACTGCTTCTCCTACAGATACAATCCTTACTACTAGCATCTGAAAGGGAAGGGAGCAGGCAGAACTCAGAAAGTTGCTTTCTATGGATGATGTGACTCCACAAACAGAATGAGCTCCTCGTAACTGAGGGATTCCACTCTATTAAAGTTTGACATTGTTTAAAGGGATTACCAGAGCACAAGTCTTTGTTGATGGGTGGGGCATCTCTTTTGGAGATGCTGACGGCCTGGAATGTTCTCTTCTTCGGCTGCCTATGCTTTTCCTCTTAAGCCTGGCTCTAAGCTTCTCCTTCCAAACAAAGCTTCCTCCAAGTTGATTTTTCCAAGGCATCTTTGGAACTAGGCCTCAGGAAATGGATTATGGAAATACTTTCTCCTATGACAGTGGCTTCAACCTTTCTCTGTATGCTCCCAGAGTGTACATTTCAATGCCTTTCACTGGGAGGTTACTGATGTTATCAACTGTCAACAGCCTAGTCTACCAACTGTCAGCTTTGACTGTAGGAGATCACACTCCATTCCTTCAGCTGATCTTCTGACCCTTTTGTATTCTATTTACATTTATTCATTGACATATATTTATTTATACATCCAGCAGTTTCCTTTTGCTCGACCCAGAGGAGTGCTAAAAGCTCTTCAGGGGACAATACCTCCCGAAACAAAACAAAAGAGAAAGCAAAGCAAAACATTACCAGTCAGATGAAGGCAGGCATGACAACATTTGTGTGAGATGACAGACAGAACTTAAGTTGTGGGAACAAGAATGATACTGAGTTCACAGGATATTGGAGAAGGATTTTTAGATGTGATAAACAGAATGTAACATATCCATTCACCGTAGATACAACTAGCAGCTTGGTAAGCACATGCTACTAACCTTTATTTGTTCCATTAGGATTACATTGGTCGCTTCTGATTCACGCAGCAACCCATTTAAATGCTCAGCACTCTTTGATGTAGTATTTAACTTCTGGATTAGCTGCTCTTTTGTGACCTCTGCTTCCCATTGAGGAGGTTCTAAAGAAATTCACAACAATGGTGTTTTCAAAATTGTTTATGTATACATATAAATATATAGAGAGAGCTGTTTTTAATGGTAAATAGGCAAAGTTATACATACACTTTTTTATTTCTACCAGAAATTCTAAAATAAAAGCAACATTTTCATTCCCAAGTACTTGCAGAGACTACTTTTTCAAGACCGTACAGGAATTAAAATAAGTATGTCACACATTTTCACTAACCTTTAATCCAAACTTTTAGAATGGCTCTCTGAATTGAAAAGCTTATAGAATTAATAATAAGTTATTTGCCAAAATTACAGGAAATGAAAACCCAGCTGAATGGCCATTATGTAAAAAATGTCAAATCTGACTTTTTCAAATGCTAACAGAAAGCATGATAGCAGCTTAATAACAGCAGCAACGTATGAAAAAAATGTTTCTTCATCATGCGCTGGAAATTTGGGCAACTCAGAAGAGACAGGTTAATATCTTTGTTCTTCATTGTGCCCCCTGCAACTTCTTACACTAAAGGCAAGCATGAATGCCTTGGTGAAAAACGCTGCCTTGTGAAAGTCTTACATCTGGCTTTCTCTCACAGCCATCTCCAGGCTGGGTTTGCTCTTCTCTAAGACCTTTTCTGGCCCAAAGATTCAAAAACGCAGTGACAGAAAGCCTTATCAATACCTTCGTGGTATCACTGCATCTCCGTCCAAGAGCCACAACTGCAAGAGCTATTGCATTTCGGGAGAGGATCTAACCTTTGGCAGCAGCTGTAATTTCCTCTAAGACCTCCTAGGCCTGGAGACTCAGAAGGAGAATACCAACTGGAACACAACAGATCTAGGAATCCCGAGGAATCCCTCAATTTTGTTTTATTTTACATTTCTTGTATGATACCTTGAGAACTCTGGTTAGTAGGCTGGCTATAAAATGCACCAACCACACCCATTTTGGAAAAGGAAATGTAAGGAAAGCATGGGGGAAATTTACCATAAGCAAAAAATCATCTTTCCCATTACCTGAAAAACTATCCCCTGAAGTACCAGTTTTGCACTACGCCAAGCATAAAATACCACTGCACCACCACACACCTGAGAATATTACCTTACCAAATTTTGTTTCTGGGGTGTTAAGAAGCTGTTCCAAGGAAGGTACAGGTGTGCTGGAAGAAGACACAGATTCTGTGTCCGTCATTTCCATCCCTTCACCCTCTTCCCTAGCTATTGTGTGCACATCAAGAAGAGGGAGTTCAGCACTCTTGCGTTCTCGCAAGCTCTTTGTTGGGAGGCTGGAAACAGCAGGACCTAAAACAACAACAACAAAAACCCACTAGAAAAGAATTCTCATACATTTGAAGGCTACCTGAAGGGCTGTATCTCCCATATGAGCCTTCTCGGCACTTAAGATCATCATAGAAGGCCCTCCTCCCAGGCCCCTTGTCAGCACAGGGGACAGAAAAGAGGGCTTTCTCTGTGGCAACTCCCAGGTTATGGAATGTTCTCCTTTGGGAGATCAGGATACCCTCCCCCCGCCCCTTTTATCTTTCCACCGACTGCTGGAGATCCATCTTTTAAGGCAGGCTTTTAACAATCATGATTGAGGCCCTGAATGCCTTTTTTAAAGTTAAGATAGTTTTTCATTGTTCACTTGCTTTTCATTATTCAATTATACTTCAACTAGCGTATAGCTTAATTGGTTTTTAATGTTTAACTTATTATGTTTTTAATTCAATTCTTTTAACATTGTGAGCCACCTTGGGTTCCCGTATCAAGAGAAAGGCAGTCTATAAATAAAACAAACAAATAAAAATACATAATAAAAATGTTAACATATTCAAACCATACCAGTATTATAAAATTTTACAAGCACAAAATCATACAGATGGCCAATTGCACTGCCCCAAGATATTTTGGCATCTAAGGTAGAAAATCCAACCACTGTCCAATTTGATACAAACATTTATTTATTTAGAAACGAGATATACCATACCTTCTTCAATCCAGAATACCCAAAACATTAAAATTCAGTATCATGAAGTAACTTAAAGCCTAAACATCTGTAATAAATTCAATCAAGTTTAAAACTATCAACCAGAATCAAAAACAGTTTTGAATTAAAAGTATAAATGTTTAGATAAAGGTTCCCCTTGACATTTAGTACACTCATATCTGACTCTAGGGGGCGGTGCTTATCCCCGTTTCCAAGTCGTAGAGCCAGCGTTTGTCTGTAGACAGTTTCCGTGGTCACGTGGCCAGCGCAACTAGACATGGAACGCTGTTACCTCCCCACCATGGTGGTAGCTATTTATCTATTCTTACATGCTTTTGAACTGCTAGGTTGGCAGGAGCTGGGACAAGTGACGGGAGCTCACTCCGTCACATGGATTTGATCTTACGACTGCTGGTCTTCTGACCTTGCAGCTCAGAGGCTTCTGCGGTTTAACCTGCAATGCCACCATGTCACAAATGTTTACTTCGTTTTAAAAGCCAGTGCAAATAAAAATGTTTTGATGATGCCAATTTATAGGCCTAAATTCAATTGCTAATACAAACTAGAGTAGACTCAATAGCTGAAATCCTGTTGCTTAGCCTAGAGGTCACACTAGAATAGGCCCGCAACAATGGGGATCTGGTGCCCAACATAATGTTGGTGCCACATGGACATTACATATATACTAAACAACTGAAAGGTTGCTGCTTTTTGACAGTGCGGGAATTAAGCCATCTGAACTGGGCTGCTTCAGCCCCTCCTAAAACTTAAATTAGAATGTTTTGCAATATAGTGACAGAACTGACAATGCATCAGAAAGGAAGCTTGGTGCTAAATCCTATGTTCTGTTAGTGGGAACTTTCCTTCCCTTGCTACCTTGAACCCTCCACACAACCCAAAATCTGGCTCCAGGTGGCTTCCTGCACCCCTCGTCATAGCACTGGATCATGTTATTTCAGAGTAATGCTATCACTGAACAGCATCTTAAAATCTTAGTTGTGTGCGTCTTGCAGTGAAAGTGTCTCAAGAAAGAATCTTAACTAGTAATCAGGTATGCAGGAACAGTTTTCAGGTAGTCTCAGCTGAATCTCATATTTTCAGTGAATGACAGACAGAAACTCACTTTTTGCATTCGGCTCACTTTTGAGTTGAAAGAGCTGGGTTTCGACTTTGGATAGCTGCTGCTGTAAAGTCTCCACAGTCTTCCTGTGCTCCTCTTGCAAATGCCTGACCTGATCACGGAAGCTGTTCCGAAGAGCTTCATTTTGGGCTGTCAGCTGGCTCACCATCTGTGCATGCTCTGACTTCATGACCATGTTCTCAGATTGTATTGTGCAGAGCCTGGAAGATATGGCCCCCCACTCACAAGTTATTGAATTAGAAAACAAGAGTTGCTGTATTTGAGAAAGCAAGAAAATGTATTGCACAATCTCCCCACGAGGACAACATACATTCAAGACACAACATTCCAAGATTAAATATCAGACACAAACACTATTGTATTATTTACATGGCACAGAAACATACTTCTCTCGGAGCTCTGCTTCTTTGGCCACCGTTTCCTGAAGAATCTTATTGTGCCTTTCCAGCAGGGTATCATGTTCTGATTGCAGTGACTGAAGCTCAGTGACATGAATCTGCAAGTTATGTTGAGTGTCTTGCAATTTGATCCTCAGCTGATCTATTACCTTTTCCATGTGCTCTCTAAAGGGGAGGAAACCGAAAAGGATTTCCATGTGTTATGCCTGCTTCTGAATTTTTAGACCACAAAAACTAATGGTTTATGTCACTTGAACATGTGGTGGCGCCAGTTATTATATGAATGGAGAAGTACAGTACATGCTTCATAGAATTAAAGAATGCAACGATGACAGAAATGCAAATGGATTTGATTTTCGGAATAGAGATCCAAAACAAATCACGTTTGTACAGTTGTGCCCCGCTTTACGATTGAAGAATTAAAGAATGCAATGATGACAGAAATGTGAATGGATTTGATTTTCAGAATAGAGATCTAAAACAAATCACATTTTGTACAGTCATGCCCCGCTTTATGATTGCCCTGCATTATGACGAATCCGCCCCACGACAACGTTTTTGCGATCGCAAAACGATGGCACAGCTGATCGGCGGTTTCAAAATGGCTCCCCGCTGTGTTTAGGAACGGATTCCTCGCTACACAGGCACCGAAAATGGCCGCCGTATGGAGGATCTTCGCTGGATGGTGAGCTTTTAGCCCACTGGAATGCACTGAACGGTTTTCAATGCGTTTCAATGGGCTTTTTATTTTCGCTTTACGACGTTTTCGCTTAACAGTGATTTTCCGGGAACGGATTCTCACTGTTAAGCGAGGCACCACTGTAAACCTGACTACAGCGATATTATTTTCTAGATAACCTAGAGTAATATAATTTGTAGAGGGTTAAAACCATTTTAGTTCCAACCGGAGTAGACTGAATGTGATTTCTGTAAATATTGGCTTAACAAGTTCTGTCATTCATTTAATCTATTTCAGCTGAGATTAATATTTGGATTTAGCCCAAAATAGAAAGCTGCACCAGCAATGCTCTCTTCACAATGTGAACCAGAATATTTTCCTCCTGGCTTCTTGAGGGTATATATGTTAGGCTATCTATTGAGAAAACAAGCAGTGGGTTCCCAAGGGCAGTCCTCCTCAACCATGGGTTCTCAGATGTTGCTGGATTACATTAGGATGGCTGGTCAGTCTGGCTACTGATCTAAAGAGAGCTGTTGTCCATCATCTGGAGATCTAAGACTGCAAAAGATTGCTCTAGATTGAAACTATTTATATCATCCTCAGACGCTTCATTCAAAGGGAGTACTAATTTTGGTTTGGGATCCTCTTTTCCTACAATCAGCTGATGTTCAAATGTAATGCTAAACTATTCACTGAAAACATATAATATGAATATAAATGTATATAATATAAATATAAAAACAATGTATGGGTAATCTAACTTATTACTTTATACTGTTTTAACTGTCTTGAAATGTTTTAATTGCTTCCTCTTATTTTAAATATTATATGTATGTAGTTTAATGGGTCGGAGACCGCAAATAAATTTTGACTGATTAAAAACAGAGGCAACAGCCTGATTTCACTGTGGCTACCCTGCAGGAAGAGATGAAAGCAGATAGTTTAGGCTTGCCTTCAGTCCAAATCAATATGCAGTGTAGCATCAAGGGGTGCTTCTTACTTCTCACATGTACTGGACAAGCCTTAAGTCCACTTTGCAAAACAATGTGTCAACCAGGAGACATCAGTTCTGGCAATGGGATTTTGATTCACGCTAGCATTCACCAAAATCAATCATGCTTACCTTTCTTGCTTAGTCACATCCGTTTCAGACTGAGAAGTTTTGTTCTTCTGTTTTAAAACATTGTGAACACGTACTCTGTAGCTCTCAAAGTCAGCAGTGACAGCAGCGTGTTCTGCCTGTAATGACATATGGGAACAGAAGCTATTTCACTATGCATAAGGAACAGACATTTCATACAACCAAACAGTTAGTGTGAGCCAGCTGTAGGCACATACATACAATTATTATACTTTTTTTAAGCAAAGAAGGGTTTCATTCCATCCTTGAGCTTTATAAGGTAAGCTGTTTTAAATAATACAGTATGTACTCAGCTTTCTCAGAATGACTAAAAACCAAAGGGAGAATCAATGTTATTCAACGCTTCCAGATACACATTGAAAGGGTGAATTATTATTATGCTATTTTTCAAAGCACAAACAAGGATGACATATTGCAATTACAGGGCAGGCCAAGGGAAGAGATCTCACAAGCGATGGCACGTTCACCCGCTAGAACACAGTCCCTCTTGCAATCTCATCAAACAAATGCCTAGTTAAAATTACATCTGCTTCTGAGTCATTCTGTTTTGCAAAGACAAACAAGATGATGGACAATTTCATATTAAATTCTGGGGAGTTTTTTTTGAAGAGCATGCTATCCAATATAGCAGGACACAGCAATCATTTGGTTTGTGTACAATGAACAGATTATCCACACAAGACTCCCATAGCAGTGTTCTCAGAAACCAAATTAAAACTCATCATGTGATTCTCCACCTGCTCCCCAAAACATCTTTTTTGGGAAATATAATCCATAGTTCTTCTCAAGTACAAATACTTTCCAGTGAGAATGCAGCTTAGTTCTCTCTGGACCACAGTTTGTAGAACACACTCTTATAAGGGTGAACACAGAAAAGCACCAAAATCAGCTGCTCTAAATTCAGGAGAATTATCTTTCACAGAATCATGTAACTTACAGCTGCCTATCAGCAGATTTTTCCAGCTGCTCACAATGCTGTTTTTTTTAATACCGGAATGCTTAGTATCTATAATTGCTATCCCCTTAAAAATGATCTAGTACTCATGCAAATTTCATATTGATGACATACTGCTAGAGGGAAAAAGTTATCAAGCAGTTGAAATCATAGATCTATGATGGACGCAAGACACAGAAAGACACCAGTTGGCATAACTATCTTCTTGAGCACTTAATAAGTAAATCAGTTCTCTGGGAAGGAACTGATCCCCTAACACTGAGCACAAATCATTCTTTAGCTTTCTGAACTGAAATCTGTTAAACATGCATTCCTCATCACAGCCACTGCTTTCTGAAAACGGAGGACTGATTTATGAGATGCACAACATCAGCCATTGAAATACGACACATGACCCCAAGGTTTTAAATGCCAGAGGAGAAATCACACAACTCTAAGCAATGGAGAGCTGCTTACTGAACATTTTCAGAGCACAACATTTTGTGATAAATTAGACTACTTTGTGTCTAGAAAAATACCTTTGCTGCACTGTATTCTTCTTGGAGAGCAGCCAATTTCTGCTGGTAATTACTCTGAACCCGCTGGTGCTGCTCTAGGGACATCCGCAGCTGCTCCTGAATTCTGTGTTTTTCAGAGGTTATCTCAGCCAACTGAATCTGCAAAGGATATTTTAATATCTTTAAAATTTAGCCATGGTGTTCTTTAAAAGAAGAGTCATTGTCACAAACTTTTTGCCCCCACTAAACGATAAAAAGGAATCATTAACTGATTGGATTTAAAGCTTCCAATACTTTCCCTGCATGGCACTTATTGATGAGTGACCGAGGCATACCCAGGCCGTTGTTTTACCTTTCATATAGCTGTAAATGTAATGATCCAATTAATGTGTTTGCTAACAACCATACAAAAAACACTCAGTTAGTGACATATTTTGCTATGGAAAAAGGAGAATACTGTATGGCAAAATATATCATTCATTGAATGATGGTTGTATGGGTGTGGCAAATGGGAGTATTACTGCATTGTTACGTTTACAACTACATAAAAGCTAAAACAACTCAACTTGACATGAAGCGCGATCAACAAGGAAGGATTAATTCACTTATGTAAAAGGTTGCATCAGGTATTCCTTAATGAAATGCAATTTTTGTTATACAGTTACAGAAACACAGTCTTGCTATATGTACATGCAAATGAAATTCACTGCACCTTCCAAGTGGATACATAGGATTCCCAACTTTCAAAAGCTCATTTTACACACATACCCATTTAGAACTCTTCCTATATTAGTAAATAGTCAGTATCCCAATGTCATTTTTCTGACCTTTGTGACTCCTGTGTTTCCCCCAAAATAAGCCCTACCCTGAATAACAGTCAGTATCCCAATGTCATTTTCCTGACCTTTGTGACTCCTGTGTTTCCCCAAAAATACCAGTAAGTCCTACCCCGAAAATAAGCCCTAGTTAAGTGAAACCCTGCCCTCCACCAGGGACACACCGGGATCCTCCCAAGCCCTCAAAGAGAGACTTAAAACTTCGTCCCCTCCTCTCCCACTTCCCTCACTTGCAGAGGGGCTGGTCAGCCAGGGAGGAAGGAGCTGCCCACCGCCAGGAACTTGCTCCTTGGCTGCTAAGTTCCCAACGGCTCTTGGCGCTCGCCCCTCTGCAGTGTGCGTGCTTCCCCCCCTCCAGTGTGCGCCCGGGTGAGGCTAACAAGGCAAAGTTGGAGGGGGGGGAGGCAATTTCAGAGCTCCAGCCCCTACCAGCCCTGCCTTTATTCCCCCCTCCCCTCCTTCTCCTACCGTGACTCTTCTCTTGTTCAGCTCCCTCTTCAGTGCTGGGTGGTGCTGGCAGGGCCACATGTTGAAGCAGCCGCCACCCTTTCCTCACCTGGGCTCGCAGGCTTCAGACCCCGCCCCCTTCCACACCAATGCCTCCCCCTTCACTGCTGCTGTTGTTTCCCTCAAAACAAACCCAGTGCCCGCCAGCCCCAGCAGGAGCCTCAGCCCGGGCACCGCCACTGGAGGAACCTGAGCCGCCACTGTGGCGCCTCCTGGCAGCGGCAGAGGCGCCCCTGGAAGAAGTGGCACCAGATACATTTAAAGAAGGGGAAGGAGAACCCGAATAAATAAGGGCGGGAGTCTCGGCCCGGGCACCGCCACTGGAGGAACCTGAGCCGCCACCGTGGCACCTCCTGGCAGCGGCAGAGGCACCCCTGGAAGAAGTGGCACCAGGTACATTTAAAGAAGGGGAAGGAGAACCCAAATAAATTAATAATAAATAAATAAAATAAATGATGGTAACTAAATAAATGTAGATTGTTGTTCTTGAAAAAAAAAAACATCCCCCGAAATATAAGCTCTAATGCATTTTTATAGCAAAATTTAATATAAGACCCTGCCTTATTTTTGGGGAAACACAGTAGCACTGTAAAATCATGTGTTTATGACCTCAAGCCTGATAGCAAGAGTGGAAGTGGGAGGAGAGAGAAAAGAGCAGAGGTGGGAGGGGACCACTCAGCAAGCAAGCAAGAGAAGAAGAGAGGTCAGAGGGGAGCGCTCAACAAATAAGCTAGCGAGAGAAGGTACGAGGGAGAAGACAGTAGAGTTTTCATTTCTGTGAAATCAAACTCTTCCTTTTACATTGAATCTAATGGGAAAACAGGGTTCAACTTACAACAGCACACGCTGTAACCATAGTCAGTGAACTAATAAGGCTGTAAGTACAGGGTTAGTTAAATACACAGGGAGAGGCACACACATCTCACATGACAGCATACTTTTAAAAATACATGATATCTGTACATCATGCCTGTTCCTACGTTGGAAAAATATCAGGACTAAATTAACCATAAAAACGTGTCAACATAGCACGTGTGGAGTGTGAATTCAGAGTCTCTGGCAATTCAGTCTGCCATTTTGTTCCATCTGTATTCAAAGAATACAAGTAACTTACATATTTATAAGGGTCATATTGTTTTCAATATTACATTGTATCCTAATAGCTAACTGTATTCTATTGGAAATGAACTAGATTTAAAGATGCTTAAGTTTGGTTAGACCATGCACAATGACAGGATCCATGCTTCCTTTTATACTTAATTCAGATCAGACCCTTGTGCTCCACATGTGTATGGTTGTTTTGTCGTTTAAAATCTGAACTCCAATTTCCACCATGAAAATAAAGCACATTTTAATGCAGCGCTCAGAGCACGTGTTAGGTATGAAAGCAGTAGAATATATTCATCATTATTCCCAAAATTCACTATTTATAAATTGTGTTGGAAAAGGCCTGGTAAAATGAAATGAATAGTGATAGATAGATCTTGAATTTGTTACCACCTTTTGTGAAAAATTAAATCTGGCTGAATTCAGTGATGCTTACCCTCAAAAGGCAGGATTAGCATTGCAGCCTACTTATTTCAGAACTCTTACTAGCTGAAATCAGCACAGTAAGTCACAAAAAGAGTGGGCTCACTCAATCAGTGGAATTTACAGAGAGGTTGACTCACCTAGCTACCGCTGATTCAATGGACCTACTGTAGTTGCAACTTACTGTGCTAACTTCAATGTAACTTACATTCTGTATGCAAGAGCACCTTTAAAATACAGTATGTTGAAAGATAGCCCATAGGATAAGATATTATTATGGACATAGTTTTCACAGTATCTTTAGCTGTCAGTGTAAAAATTATAATGCAGTTTTTCTATAATCTGAAAGGAAAACATTGTCTTGCCTTAAAAACTTCCACTTGCTGCTGACTTGCTTCCAGCTCTCCTTTTAATGATGCCTGCAATCTCAGAAGTTCATTTTCCTGCAGAAAAAAAATTAAATTTAGTAATTTGATTATATTGTATAAGAAAAATATGTAGCTATATCAATATTAATTTGATTTACAAAATGGAGAAAAATAGTAAAAGCATGAAGACTTACTGCCTGCTTTGAATCGGACAACTCTTTTTTTGTTTTCACCAGTAATTGCTTGATCTTGGCATTTTTCCCCTCATATTGTTGCACAGAACTCTGAAATGATTCTAATAAACAAAATATATGTTATGGATCATGTATTCATGAAATCACAAGGAGAAACTGGGTCAAATAATAAAAAAATATATACTAGCTCAAGTTTTCTGCCAGTGAAGGAAAGCACAAACATTATTATTTATATATTACAGCAAGAAGTTACAAAGGTTCTCTGAATTTTCTTTTTCTTTTCTTTTTAAGTGTTCCAAATCCCATTGGAAGTACGAAGTTCTCAGACATAAGCCATGAAGGTTTATCACTGACCACAGCTGTCCAGAGGGATTCCCCAGGTTAATTTTTTCCAAACAAGACCATAAACATTTGTGAAATGATGTTTGTGTAATACGCTTGTTTTCTTAATCTTCATAACAAAACTCCCGACTACTGATTAAGGCTGACTGAGCTGTATTGGTGTCATATGCCAGCTTTGTTGTGTTTCTACTCTACGGCATACATAAACAGCCTGCCTGATAAGCTGAAATATGCACAGAACCACCTTGAGACAAAAAAGGAAGTAAGACATGAAGAACTGCTCACTGATTTCATCCTGTAGCATTTCATGCTTCTGTTTCTGAATTTTAATCTCTTGTTCAAGGTCTTCAATTCTGCTGCTTTTGTCAGTAATCTTTTGATTAAGTTCTTTTACAAAACGTTCATAATCAGCTATTTCCATATCCATCAATGTGCTCTTCTGTGCATCCTGTATTTTACAAAATTCAATATGGAACATTTGAAAAAATCAGCATTTGCAACGACAGTTTCTAATCTAATAACCTAATATGGGTGTTTAACTATTGACATTGTCCCCTTTTTATTCTAATATGCCAAGTATAGTAGGACCACCATATGTGCATGATCAGTACCTGCAGTTTCATTTATCCAGTGCCTGAATGAATGAATGAATGAATGAATGAATGAATGAATGAATGAATGAATGAATGAATGAATGAATGAATGAACGAACGAACGGATGAATGAATAAACACACGTTCCCAAGATGTATTACTAGGACTGGACACTAGATGGAACCAGAGACTATGCTATATACAGGTGGCTGAATAGAAATGCACTTGTAGCCTGAGGTCTCTGAGGGAAGCAGCTTCTGGTGAAATGGAGAAGCCAAACCCGGGGTGGGTGCAGTTGCTGGTTTCAGGGAAGGTTCCCTTGCAATCACAAGGGCAGGAAACCCAATCCTTTGGCAAGACTGAAGGCTGGGCTCCTTCTCTCAACCATGCAGGGACACCAAAGAAACTGGAAGTACAGTTAAGTGCTTTGCTTATCCGCTATTTCCGAATTCTGCTGGGGGAGGAACCCTGTGGATACCAAAGTCCTACTGCAGTATCTACAGTATATGGAAACTATGCCCGTATGATTCCATATCTTCCCCAACAGCAAACAAAAGCAGACATTGAGTCAAACGAATACAAAGATGCAACCAGAAACCAAAAATTGCTAAGAAGCAAGGAACATACGTAACTATCAATCTACCTTCTTTGCCAACTCCAGCTCCTCCAAAACTTTTTGAAGACACTTCTTTTCTTTCTGAAGTTGTATCTGGAGTTCTTCAACTTCTTTCACAGCATTAGTGTGGCCCTGCAATAACAGTTGTAATGGTCTTCATTTTGAAATTTCCAAGACAGTAGCTATGTTAGTCTGTTGCAGCAAAACCACCAGAATCTTATAGTACCTTAAAGAGTAATAAATATGTTTTGACATGTTTTTTGGACCACAGCCATGAATTGAACAGTATTGTTCAACAGCTGATGCCCAATAAACCCCACTAATTTTAAAGGTCCCTTTGTCCATTTTGAAAAATAACTTTTCTCTTTTAAAAATACTTTTGTCCATTTAGAAAATAATTTATTTATTTTATTTTCTGCTTTTATGTCATCTACCTTTATCTTTTGTTCCTTTAAAAGTTTTTCAGCTTCAAGTTCTTTCTCAGTTTTGGCTTTAGCTTTCTGTGTTTCTAACAGCTGGTTTTCTAACAGCTTGGTGTTAGTCTGCAGTGTCTCAACCCGAGTCAAGAGGTCTTCATTAGTAGAGCGCAGCTGATCTTCCTAAAATGACAGTAGCAACAAGTCAGTATGATGATGTTATGAAATTCAGGTGCAAGACTGGGTGATATCTTTTTGGGGCCAATTAAAAAAAATTTAAAAAATAGCAAGCTTTCATGGATGAAATCAACTTCCTTAAGCTATGCACACCTCCTTCATGGAGAATGCAGAAAAACTGTAGACAAGAGTCCAAAATTGATGTTATATATTTTTAAGGGATGATCCAGGTTTTCTTGAAGATGGGTCTCTACTATCTCTGCAGCGAGATTTGGATTTTTTTTCCAAAATTTTTATATTCAGGTACATCATGTTGGATCTTGGACTTTCTGCTACAGTAAAATGTTTAGAGCCCAAAGCAAAAACCCAAACTTTTTTGCAGCACATTATTGACAGGGACCATAATCTAGAGCAGTGGTCCTCAACCTTTTCTGAGTCGCAGACCAATTGGGGGTGTGGGGTCCGTGGGTGGGCAGGGGCACCCATGTGTGCAGGTGGCGGGCTGTGCATGTGGGTGGGGGAGTGCTTGCAGGGTGCGGGACAGTTGTCTCGGTGGCCCGGTCCTGCCATGGCCACGAACCGGCACCGGGCGATGGACCGGGGGTTGGGAACCCCTGATCTACAGGGATCAAATTTATAAGCAGTTTGCATGCTTGGTAGCAAGCAAAGCAGAAACGAGTGACAGGCAGGACTAGGGTCAAAAGCAAATGGGCCCCTCTTTCTTTTCATCTTTTGGTCACTCCATCTTTCTCGTTATTCAGAAAACTGCTAAAAGAGGGACAGGATACCTCTCAGACAGCTTTTTGGAATGAAGCCAAGTACAACATGAATCCAGGATAAAAATCACAGGTTGCCTACACCAGGGGAGAACTTAAAGAGAATGGTTTGAAAACAGGGCATGATTTTTTCATGTGTACCTCCTTTTTTTTTACTGGATTTAATCCTGGATGCTTCTTTTGTAAGACAGTTTACATTCATTTGATTTTAGATAAATCGAATGATCTAGCTAGTTCTGTTCAGAAATAGTACTTGATAGCAGCAATGCATGCCAACAAAACTACTGCAGACAACCATACAAACGGATTTAATTTCATGTGCTAAAAATCCACAATCATGGGCTTTGGCTAACATACAATTCTTCACAAAATGTGCAGTCCTGAAAAGTAAAGAAAGTAAGAGAAAGGGGCTGTAGCTGTAATGAGAAAGAGAGAGAAAACCCATAAAGGTATCAATTCCAGAAATAAGCTCAAGACAGATTGCTTTTTGTTCCTGTACTACTACTGTTTTGGCTTTTTAAAAAGCTGGCTTCATCTCAAATTCTAAGAATCTGACAATTTTAGAACTAATCCCAGGAAAGGTATCAGGGAATAAAAATAAAGCTGCATCTTGCCTTTTGGCTTGTTGCCACCAGGAGGCAATTTATGGCATGTTATAAATGAAAGGCAGAGATTATTTGGCTGAAATCCTGTTGCATAAGTGCATGCACACAAATCTTTAGGATGACATTAACTGCAGACACTAAACTTTATTTTAAAATTTCCTATCCCGGCCCCACCCCATCCCTCATCTCAGGGTCTCCAGGAATCCCTTTTGATCTGAGGAAGTGTTTGGGAGCCTCAAGACTGGGGCAGAGAGAGTCTTTAATATCTAAAAATCACTGCTCCCTCCATCCCAAGGCTGGCAAAGGCTTCTGAAGTCAAAAGGAATTCCTAGGGAGGGTTGGAACCAGGATGGAGATATGAAATGAAAAGACTAGTATCTGAAGCTCATGATGTCATCGAGGTTTACATGTACAAAGTTCCACAACAGGATTCCAGTCTTTGTGTTTAACTGCAACCTTGACCTACATAATGCCTTTAATTATTACTAATGCTGATCAGATGTTCCACATCTATACTGAATAGCATAGAAATAAAAAATGCAATTGTCTCTCTTATCCAAATAGTTTTACAAAACTCTTTTTCAAACATTTCTGGTATACACACAGAGAGAGGGATCATTATGCCTGCACTCTCCACATCACGTTGTATCTGGCCTAATGTTTTAAAATAAAACAGTGCTTTTAACAGTAACTAAGGAGCATTTTGATAAGACATTTAATCATAAGATAAATAGTGCAAAGGAGATAACACCCTCTTTGCAGTAAGTAGTGGACAGTGCTTCCAAAAAGTAGAGTGACAGAAATCTCACAGTTCCAAAGTTGTTCTACTCAAACTCTTTACAGAAACTCCATGCTGAGAGAGATTATCCCCTCTGAAAAAAATGATGGTACAGTGCTTGGAAAAGTTTTTTTCAAAGACATTTGGGCTGGATGAGATGGCAGCAATGATCACAACCTGGCATCTGGACTGCAAACAGCATCATTCACTTCTCATACTCCATTTCTTCCAGTTAATTTCCCCTGTGGCTTCCCACTCGCCAAATAAGAATAAGGCCGTTTTTTAAAAAAAGTTTTAAATAAGCAATACCTGCTGAGTTGAACTCTCCAGCTGTCTTGTGAGGTCATCGATTTGATGTTCAAAATTACGAGAGCGCTCTTTTTCAAAATCCAGCTGCTCTGCTTGCTTGTCAAACTCTAATAACAGATTCTGGGAACAGATGCAAATGCCTTTCAAATTTGGTAAAATACATTGACCTAAACCGAACATGATTAAACCTCTTGAATCAATTGTTGAATGGCAATCAACACATCTGTAACCCACAGATTCACTGTGCTTACTTTGCTTGAGACTACCATTTCTGGCTACAAAAGCCTATAATGTACATGCATGTAATGTGCATATCCTTCATTGTTTCTCATAAACAGAAAATATATATTAGGGAATACTGAACTATTTCTTCGTATCAAAATGCAGCTAGAATTATTATTTTTGGCAGCCTTAAAAAATCTGCATCTGTTATCTGACTGCAACTATACTACAATGAATTTTAAAGCTTTCTAAAATATCACCCACATGACATTTTAACTGTGAGAATTATTATCTACAATGGGAGAAATTCAGTGCTGAGCACACAGATTTATTTTTAGTTATTATTTTATTTTTTTATACCACCCATTTGGCAGCCAAGACCACTCTGGGAGGTACAGTATACAACAATATAAACAACAACAATGATAGAATAACAATACAGAACAGCTACCAAATAAAATGTAACATATACACAATGAATAACAATATGGGACACCGTAAAACATAAAATAAAATAAAATGAAGATAAAATAGAATAAAAATAAACATAGAAACAAAAATAAAAACATGGCAGTAGGTTGGATGTTTAAGTATTAAGGTACTATTGTATCATGGTGGTATAAGATCCAAGAAGGCCTGTCTGAATAGCCAGGTTTTTAATAGCTTGTTAAAGGTTCCCAATGAGGGGGCTAGGAGGATTTCGGGCAGGAGACTGTTCCATAGTTGCAGGGCAACCACCGAGAAGGCTCAGTTTCTGGTAGTGATTTTTTAGGCCTCTCTCGGGGTCAGAACTCCCAACTGCTCTGCCTGTGATGATCTTACCAGATGGGCAGATCTTATTAGAAGGAGGCGCTCTGTCAGGTATTGAGGTCCTAAACCATTTTAGGGCCTTATAGGTAAGCACCATCACCTTGAAGCTGGTACAGAAGTGTAAGGCAGCCAAGATGACGGAGATGAGTTGGTATTTCCTGACCCCAGTCAGCAACCTGGCTACCGAGTTCTGGACCTGTTGAGGTCTCCGTAACAGCCCCAAGGACAGCCCCATGTAGACAGAATTGCAGCAGTTTAATCTTGAGACTACCAATGCATGAACTAGCATGGTGAGGGACCCGGTGTCAAGGTCGGGCTGCAGCTGGGCAATCCGCCTTAGATAGAAATAGGCGGACTGTACCACTGATGCTATCTGGGATTACATAGACAGCACTGGGTCCAGAAGTATGTCCAAGCTGCACACTTCATCCTTCATGGAAAGAGTAGCCACCCCCCGAAGGAGAGGGAGGTCCCCTGATCACAGGCACAAGATTTCCATCTTGTCTGGATTCAGCCTCAGTCTATTATCTATCATCCACTCCAGCACAGCGTCGACACTCAAGATATGTCCTGGTCATGCATCTTCTTTCCATCATGGAAACCCCCATCCCTCTTCAGCGCTACAAAAACCACAAGGGGGGGGGTAGAGAATCTTTTCTGCTGATGGGAGAGGGTGACTGGACACCACCAGTTAGTGCTGAATTTAGGCTGGTTTAACAGATTTTTAAAAATTTACTGACAGAGTTAGTCATATCTCCACGTTTCTAGTGTGCATGTACCACTCAAAAGTAGCACGAAGTGCTTTAAAATAATTAAATTACTGGAAAGTTGCCTTGAACACATGGCAGTACTACTTAAAAAAATACAAGCAAAATGTTGGTGGCAAAACAGAGTATAAAAAAACTGGGGTGACATTTTATGGCGCACAGACATCACAGCAGCTGTGCAATGTCCAACCTGAATTACATTTGGATCTGTGCCTTTTATCTTTGCTTTCTCCACCTTCTTTTGTGACATGGTGAATTCAGGCTACAAAGCCAACTCATTTTTCAACAACTTCAGTTAAATATAACCAATAAAACAACTTGATGAGCCCTGCATAATCGTTTTATGGGTTTTGCATAAATCATTCAAGGAGATTTAGACAGTGTAGGAGACTTTACATGTAATAAATAACATGAGGGGAAAAGGAGAAATAAAATATGGGAAGACAAGCTGCACCAACGAAGTTTCAGCAGTATTTTGTTTTCCTTTTGGCACAGTATAACCCACTGCAAACAAAGCACCTGGAGATAATTTCTTGATAGCTTCAAAAGCTTATGGCCAGATTCCAGGTGAGAGGTTGTCCAGGGAACACTAAAAAGTTTGAGGTATGTCAGGTTGAGAAGCCGTGATAAAGCATTTCAAGCATTCCAAATGTTCCAAAAGAGATCTGAATTTCACCTTATAGCTCTCGGCTGCCTGAATAAAGTCTCCCATTGAGGAAGACAGTTGCTCTTTCTCCCGCAGTGATAATGACAGTTCTTCTCTAAGTGTCTGCACCTAAATGAAACAACAGGCATAGCACTGTTAATGGTTGGATTAAAAGATTACCATCCAAAAACTGAAAATGAGTGATTTTTGCTCTCTCCCCACACATGAAAATTCATTCTCTTTCAGGAGTTTCTCCTAATTTTCAGTCTGCAAACTCCTCAAGAGTATTCCACTGAGCAAAATTTAACTTGTGAAACTTTGGATCCTACACAATTTGAAAAAATCTTTTTTTTTCTCCCAGTACATCCAAGAGTTTAAGAACTAATAACTGTTGAACCCAGAATACACATAACCAAGAAAAGGAAAGCCAACTACAAGCCTTGTTTCTAAAATGAAATGCCATTTTGCACAGAAAACTCTTAAGCTGGAAAGTTCCCGGACTCATGCCTATATCACTTTGATTTTGTAGGGTGAAGACAGCTCTCTTAATGATTTCAAAGGAAGTAAACCTTCGCAGAAACCAAGTAATGGCTTTAAAAATAACATCCAGTTTCTTCAGTTGTCCCTGGAACACACAGGAAGCTAATCATACAGAGAGATACTCAGTGTGGTGTAGTGGACAGAGTGATGGACTAGAATCCAGGAGACCTGGGTTTGAATCCCCTTTTGACAATGGAAACTCAGTAGGGGTGTGAAACTGCTAAAGCCAATCCTTAAATATCTCATTTGCCTTGAAAGTCCTGTTAGGGTCACTATAAGTCAGTTCTAACTAGACAGCACATAACAAGAATCATGCAGAGGCTGAAATCTAACTTGACATTCATAGAAGCCTTGAGACTTTTGGCCTCTCCCTGTTGCACTCTGTTTTGACTATCAGAAACAGAGTCCAGAGGAGTTTCCAGCATGAAAGCATTCAGTGATTGCTGGATCTAACTTTTCTGGTTTCAAGGCTTGAGAATTAGCATCTTAAGTTCATATGCAACCAGCCCTATATTTTCACTATACACCCTGTCAAAACTGATACTGTAAGAACATGACCACATACAAAGGAAAGGACATTCAGTGTCCCCAGCATATCAACAGCATGTAACTCCCAATCTTCAGGCAATCTCATGTTTAAATACATGTTCAAAGAGTAAAGAATGTTCCAATCAATTACACATGGGAAAGCTGTAAAAAACATTTCCAACTGGAAACGAACAGAATAACTCAAAGAACCCAAACACACCTATGGAGTCCTAGAATGACATTCACAATACCCAATGTGACGGATACCAGATATATCTAACTTGATCATGGTTACCTCTTTCCTGCTAGAATCCAATTCTTTCCTTAACTTCACAGCAACAGCTTTAATTTTATTTAGCTTTTCTTCCTTTTCTTTCAGCATTTTTTCCAAATTCACTAGATAAATAAACAAAAGTGAATTTAAAATATGACAAAAAAAGTTCTTGTGTCAGAAAAACCCCCAGCAATTTCTTTATAATTTATTTGTTCCATTGTTTATACTTCTAAAGGTGCTGTTCCTGTATGGGGGCAGAGCAGCCCTAGAGCTTCATGCTCCGGAAATCTCCTGGCTAGGTTACTGCAATTTTTTTGGTTCCGGGGATGCCCTTGAAGCTAACTTAGAAGCTTCAAACGCATTTCAAATGAATAACCAGAAGTATAAATGATACAGCCAAACAAAGTTAAATTACAGCAATTCTAAAATAGCCACCCTGGTTATTTATTCTAAGCACCACTCAAGGGGTAAATGCTTATGTTTTATTTTCTTCCTGTGTGTGGTGGATCTTTGTAGAAAGAGGTCTGACTGCAAAGTTCCACAAAGACAAGACACAGACAGAGATTAAGGGGGAAGCTAACAGGGTTGGCTATAAGTGAAGAGCTGGCAGCAATCGGCAGGGGCTGAGCCTCATAAGCTAGTGCCCATTTGCCTAGAGGACCAGATCCTATTATGCTGCTCTCACCCCCATAAATTTACCACTGAAGAGAAGCTGAAATTTGGGGGGGGGTGGCTTCCAAGTTTCAGGTCTGAGCCAAAGGGCCTCATTGCCCATCACTACCAAGGGCTTGATGTCCTCCCTACCAAGATTCATAGGCACAAAGGAAAAGAAAAATCTTCATACAAGCACAGGAGGGTTCCAAGGCTAAAATGTCTCAGCCCTTAAAGCAGCACTGGGGAAATGGGAGAAGCCATGGTAAAGAGGGAAAGATTGGCAAGCCCAGTTTCTGCCTTCTTCTAGAAAACCAAACCATAATGTACTCTGATGGGACTCTCAAGGGCAAGCCACCTCAAAATCTGAAAAGGCAACCAGGTCTCACTCAGGCAGCCTGATTAGTACACTCTAGGACAATAACTGAGGGGCCTTCTCTACTGTGGCAGCACTAATGTGATCCCGTTCCATAATAAAAATGTCCTAATTTGTTCGCCCAGGCATTATCAACTGGTTTATCTTCAGGATCAGCACTGTACATCAGCTGGCCAATGTGAAGCATCTGTTTTATTGCTGTAATACTTGTTTTACTGTACTGGGTTTTTTAAAATTATCTCTATGCCACCCTGCTATTGTAAAGTACAAATATTCTACATGATATCTCTTAAATAATTTATTAAAAAATCAGAAATGTATTTCATTGTTTTTTAAAAAATATTCTCCGTGTTGCAGAACTACTGTAAAAACACAGACGTGTCAGATATGATGGAAACAACCTTTACTGAATAATTTTCGACAAAGCAAAAGTGATAAGAAAAGACTGAAGAGGAATTACCTATTTTTTCTAGTTCTGATGACTGCTGATCAGCATTAACAGAAGTTGCTTCTTCAGATCCCTGCAACGTATACGAAACATATGAGACAGGCAGACCAGTGCTAGCCCTAACCTAAGCTTTGGGAGAGACTAAAGAGGCAAAGCTTGCCCTATTCATTCCCTCTGAGAGCCATGTAGACCTGCAGAGCTGCCTCTTGCCAATACTAGGGCAGCAACAGAGACGGCACTGATAGCAACTGTGGAATGGGAGTGAAATCACAAAGGCAAAGAATAGTGATTCCAATGCGACAGCTCACAGGCCCTAAGTCTGAGCCATAAAAACAGTTAGAACTGGATTCCTTGTGCTAAGGCCATTTTGTTTTACATCCTTTATCATACAGAAAAATAAAGGAAAAGAGATAAAGCTATCAGTGGCATTAAGCCTCCAGCAAATGCAATGCATTTTAATATCTAGAAATATATGTATTATTTACATTAGAAAGGATTAACTTATTTGCGAAGGCTTTCACGGCCGGGATCTAATGGTCATTGTGGGTTTTTTGGGCTTTTTGGCTGTGTTCTGAAAGTTGTTCTTCCTAACGTTTCACCACTCTCTGTGGCCGGCATCTTCCTTATTTGCTGCTTTTCCTCGAAATTTTTTTAAAAAGGACAATGTCATCATGCCGACAACGCTACAACATTAAAAAGCTGCAGCAGCATTTTGCTTCACTGAATTATTAACTCCTCAAAATGAAGGTTTTGAAGACCACTCGGCCTATATTTAGCTTTAAAAAATTAATGAAAGAAAAATATGTTTGGAACTGCTAAGCACAAAGAAACGATCACCATTTAAAGTACCTCTTAATATAATGGGGGAGACAGGACTTTTTATTGCTTTGGACTGAAAATCAAATGTATTAAAAGTGCACTCTAAACAAGTTGTTTTCATCAGGTTGAATCTGAGGGCAGTTTTACAGAGCACAAAGCCAATCTCTAATCCAGGTTCTAAACCTGTACAGAGTCATATGGTGGTTAACGGCAGATTCGTACTTGATAAACCATTTGAATTTCCCCAAGGTAAGTACAAAAAGTAAGGGGCCCATCTTTTCAAACTCACTGAGGTATCCCTCTCTTACAAATGATGAAGTAAACATGTTCATGGGCTGTTCCCAGTACTTTTTCCATCTTCATTTCTACAGAGACTTGGGGAATAAGTTAGAGCACTGGTTCTTAACCTTGGGTTACTCAGGAGTTTTGGACTGCAACTCCCAGAAGCCTTCACCACCAACTGTGCTGGCTGGGGTTTCTGGAAGTTGCAGTTCAAAAACATCCGAGTAACAAAGGTTAAGAACCACTGAGTTAGAGCATGTCAATAGTAGAAGTCTAACCTTTAGCAGAGACAGTTCAGCTTCCACACTTCTGAGTTCAATTTCTTTTTGCTCCACCATTAAGTTTAGATTCTTCCGCTCTTCTTTCCATTTTTCCTCTTGCTCTTTTATTTTGCCTTCCTGAAGTGCAAGTTGTCCAGACATATCCTGAATACGAACGAGAAGATCTTGGTTCTCATTCCTGACTTTCTCACTAGTGTGTTTGAGCTCTTGGATATCTAACTGAAGGGCTTCTTTTTCAGAGACAGTCCCTTCCAATTCTTCCCGTAAAAGGCACTTTTCTTTTTCGTAATCATTCAAGAGAGATCTAAGCTCCGTACAGTCAGCCATGCTTTCTTCCTGAAGCCTCTGTATCTCCTGCCGTAGAAGAACATTTTCATCCTTCTGTGAAGCTAGATTTTGTTCCTCTTGCTTCATTTTTGCAAAGAATTCATTTGCAGCTTGCAGTATACCAACAATATCATCTCCTTCACTTTCATCTGGACATCTGGAGCCCATTTTCTCACAGAAACCATGCAGCTGACTGAGGACAAGTGATCTGAAGCCTTTTTCCTCCTCAAGTAGTTTAGTTAAATGGCCCTTTTCTTCACAGACAGCTTGCAGTTTTATTTCCAAGCTGCCTGCTTTCTCTTTAGATGTGAGCCAGTCCCCTTTTTCAGATACAATGTTCTCTAACTCCTTGACTGCTTGATCTCTTTCTTCCTTTATTTTATTGTTTTCCCCATGCAGATTCTCTACTTCAGAGAGAAGATACACTTGATCTTTCTGAAGAGTTTCAATTTGTTGATCAAATTCTCCCAGCTTTTGTTGATCCTTTTCTTTTTCCACCGAAGTGCACTTCAGCTTCTCCATTAACTCCCTTACTTGTTGCTCTAATTCACATTTGCAAAGGCCAAGAGCCTCAACCTCTTTTTGAAGTTCCATGACCGTCGCCTTCTCCACTTCACATTTCCCTTGAAGGCTTTCTACTTTCTCTGCGGAGCACTTCATTTCCTCAAGGATGCTAGTATTCTTTAAAGCAAGCTCCTGTTCCCTCGCTTCCAGTTCTTTGACTGCAGCCTCTTTTTGATTAAGAGAAGTTACAAGTTTCTCATTTTCTTCCTGAAGTGATCCTATTTTATGCCTCAGTTCTTCCATCTCTTCTCTTTGGGAGGAAAACTGTTCTGCCTCTTCTCGGAGACGATTTACTGTTTCGAGGAGAACATCCTTTTCATTGAAAGCAATTCTAAGTTTCTTTTGGAGCTCATCAACATCAGAGGCTTGCTGCTGCTTCATGGATTCAAATTCTTGCTTTATCTTTCCAGCTGATTCCCCCAACTCAGTTTGTAGGACTTCCATTGTTTCTCGCAAGCTCTCATAACTAGCAATTGCTTCTTCCTTCTCTTCGACATGTCTTTGACATTGTTCTTTAAGATCCTGTACTTCAAGAATCAGTGACTGGTTTTCTCTCTCTAAGGTAGATGACACTGTTCGTTTAATCTCACAGATTTCTCTCCTGTGCTTTTCTACCAAATCTTGGATTTCTAGACTGTTCTCATTTATAGCCTTCTCATATCGGTCTCTTGCTGCCTGAAGCTCCGATTTCAGTTTTTCTATTACACAACAGTGCTCCTCTTTGGCAAGTTGCAGCTCATTAATTTTGAACTCTAAATCTTCTCTCTCATGAAAATATTCATCCCTTGCATGCTGGATTTCCAGTTCCAGTTTGGTCTTAACATTGTTCATATAGGTTAATTCATCCCTTAGTATACTATGCTGAGACTCCAGCTCTTTTAACACATTCTCTAAATGCCTGGTCTTTTCTGCCACTTCTGGTTCCAACGATGCACTGGTCTCTAATTGGTTTTCATCATTCTTTATAAGAGTTTGTCTTACATGCCTCAATTCATGTTCATACTTCTCTTTACAAGCATGTAGTTCATCCCACATGCTTTTCTCTTTTTCCCTGTATTGCTCTGTTAAATCTTGTTTTAGCTGATCAATTTTATTTTGCTCCTCTTCACATACTTTAGCAGAGGCTTCCAGCTGACATATCAACTTTGACATCTCCTCTTGGTGAGCAGCCTTCAATTTACCCATTTCTTCACTTAATGTGCTGATTTCTTTTTGGTGGCACTTAGAATTATTTTCAATAACATCTTGAAGTTTGGCTATTTCCTCCTCCCTACCCTCAATGGAAGTTTCCAGCTGTTTCTTCAAGTTCAAGATCTGTTCCTCATAGATGGCCTTTGTCTGATGGACCTCCTCCTGAAGCCTTTTCATTTCTTCGTTTCTACCCCTGTGGCATTCCAGCTGTTCTGTGAGCTGTTCTTGTTTCTTCAGTTCTGCGTGTAGTTCCTTTTGCAGCTTGCTTACAATTTCTTCATGTTTAGAGTGTGCCATTGCCATTTCATTCTTAAGACTTTCCATTTCTTTCAGGTGGTCAGTATTAAACTGTACAATCTGCTTCTGCAATTCTTCCTCCTTAGTTAAAGTAGCCTAATAATAAAAGATACAGACCAATTTTAAATGTACATACCTTCCAACCCCCTTGGAACTTAACTGATTATTAACTGAACAGCAGTTAGATAACAAAGAACCCAGTATCACTCTAGGTCCCTGGTCCTTTTTAAGAGAATTATAGAATCACAGAAGACTAGGGCTGGAAGGAACCTCAGGAGTCACTGAGTTCAACTCCCAGACAAAGCAGGACATCCCTAGCTAAAATATCCCTGACCTCTAGTTTAAACAGCTTGAGTGCTTGGGAAGCCACCATTCTCTGAGGCAATCCATTTCTCAAACAGCTCTTGTTGTTAGGAGGTTCTTTCTAATGTTGAGTCAAAATATCCTTTCCTGAAATTTAAATCCATTACTTTGTATTCTGCCCTTTCCCCTCCCGCTGAGCTGCAGAAAACAAGATACTTCCATCTTACACATGGCAGCTCTTCAAATATTTGAAGACGACTATCACAGCACCTCTCAACCTTCCCTTCATAGGACTAAGCATGCACATCTACCTCACCCACTCCTTGGAGGGCTTGGTTTCCAAACCCCTTATTATCCTGGATGCTGTCCTTGGGCCACATTCCAACTTCCTCAAATCCTTCTGTATTTGTGGTGCTCAGAACTGGACACAGAATTTTTTGTGAGGTCTGAGCAATGCAGGATAGAGTGGTACTATTACTTGATTTGAACACTATACTTCTGTAAGAAGCCTTGTGGTACAGTGATTAAATTGCAGTACTGCAGTTAAAACTCTGCTCCTGACCTGAGTTCAATCCCAAGTAGCCGGTTCAAGGCTGATTCAGCTTTCCATCCTTCCAACTGACTGGGAGTTTGTAATGTGTAGCCTGCATAATTAAACTGTAAACTGCTCAGGAAATGTTTTAAGTGCTATGGGGTGATATATAAGCAGCACACTTTGCTTTTCACTTTATATATATACACTTTTGTTGATGCAGCTGAGCATCATACTATATTAGCTTTTTTTTTGCGCTGTATCACAAGTAACCAAGGAGCAGAGAAGATTTTTTTTTAAAACACTCTGTATGAGATCTGCATGAAACTGGTATTACATTGCCAACACCTGCCTTTGCATTGCAACCTAAAACAAAGCTCAGTTAATACTGATTTACTGCTATATAGTTTATATACATTTATTTAATTTGATATGTATGATTTCTAAAGGATACATAACATTGCAATTTGGTTTCCTTAAACAATATAAACCTAACCAGGCAATCCTCGTACAACTATACATCATGTGTAGTGTCTTCCATGTATACTGGAAAACAAAACAGTAAACTCATTTTTAGAAGTACACACTTCAAATCCTGAATTACTGTTGAAGACAAGAGACACTTCAGAGAAGTGGGAAATGGAGAGGGAATAACAAAATTTATTGCACTGAAAAGCCAGCAGGAATCATTAAGAATGAGAATTAAGTATGTCAGTCTTGCAATGTGTCTGCAACACCTGTGTGGTTCATTTCCTGGAGATAACACCTGCACTGTCACACATGTATAGGCATTAGCAAGAGTTCTCTTCCTCAATGACACATTTCCCATAAAATGTTGTGAACGTATAAATCCTAGTGTGAATGGCTTCACACTACATTTCCAGAGAAGCAGAGCCCATCTGAAATACTTATTTTCTATGGGATGTCTGCTGAATATGTTATTCTCAAAGCTCACCCTCAGAGTGGTCGCATAGACCAGATGGGCAGGATACAAATCAAATCAAATCAAATATCAAATCAATCAATCAATCAATATCTGCCATACCTAGGTGTTTTAAGGGCCAATATATTACATTTGTGAGCTTAAGAAACAAGGAGCTCCTGTTCTGTGACAGAACTGCACACAGCATGCCAAGATTCAAACAGACTTTTTTTTTACATTTACTATCATTATGAAGTACCTCTGCTTCTTGTTGCATTTTCATATTTTCTTTTTTCAGAGCATGACACTGCTGCTGGATTTCTGCTTTTTCCAGAAGAACACCGTCCAGCCTCTCTGTCAGTTCCTGATTTTTTTTAGAAAGGCAGAGGTAAGATAGTTACAAACTTCAATATGAAAGCAAAACACGCACAGAGAGGTTGCTTATTCCTTTAATATGCTCATAAGATAGCTTTTCCACAACTTTTCTGTTTCCCATGTCATCAAAAATACTAAAATCACACACTCACCAAGATGAATTATTGCATACCTCTGCACTAAACCCAGAGGTTTCTAAGTCAAAATCACGGGCACTCTGTTTATATTAAAGCCATTCAGTGACATTCACATCGGCAATATGAAGTGTTAATTACAGTAAATTATTTGTCAGCCGATCATTTATAGACAGCCAAAAAATAAACAAATCAGAACTTGACTGGTCAACTTCGGCATTCCCATTAAGATTGTGAAACTCAGTAAATATACAATATGGCAATACTTCCTGCAAGCAGCTTTATTTTTATAATATACCACGTGGCAAAGTCAACTGAGCATTCCCTTTATTCTTCATTAAACAATGAGGATGAAAACTACCATTATCATCTTGCTTCATGAAAAAGGGAAAGGAAAGGTCAAGAAAAACACATCAAGCTTTTGAAGCTCAATGGCTATATTTCAGCATAACATTAAATTAAGATTTATAATTACAGATGGGGGTATTCATATATGAATATTCCCGCACAGGTGGAAATTACGAGGGTCTGTTCACTTGTGATTTCACCGCTGCCACCAGCTCCACAGAGGCTTCCTATCACACTGCTCTCCGCAATGGATTAGCCACTCTCTGACCTAGCAGAGAGGCTTGTCATCCCACCTCCTGCCAGGACTGGGCAATTGATTGCAGACAATGGCACAATAGGAAGGTCCGACGAGCTCACGTCAGCAGCGAAATAGTGAGTGGACAGTAATTACACTAATCCCATTTCAGACACAATGTCAAACTGTGGTTTACTGAAAACAGAAGTGAAAGCTGTTATTTCCACCTGTGCAGGGATATTCGTATTCATATACAAATACCCCCATCTCTTTATAATTACAGTGGTGCCCCGCTTGACGATTACCCAGTTTGATGATGAAATCGCTTGACAATGAGGTTTTTTGAACGATGATTAAATGGGTTTTTTTCGTTTTACGACGATTGGTTCCCTGCTTCGGGAACCGGTTTTTCGCATTACGATGATTAAAAACAGCTGATTGTCGGGTTTTCAAAATGGCTCCCTGCTGTTTTCTGGACCTATTTCCCGAAGACAGCAATACAAAATGGCTTCCCTTATGGAGGATCTTCGCTGGACGAGTAGGTATTTCCCCTATTGGAACGCATTGACCGGTTTTCAATGCAATGGGTTTTTTCCGCTTGACGATGATTTCGCTTAACAGCGATTTGCCTGGAACACATTATCGTCGTCAAGCGGGGCACCACTGTATGTGAATGAGATTCATATGAATGAGGTTCATGTTCAACAGCAGTTCCTTTCCTTCACAAGCACAAGGATAATTATGGAAACTCATTCCTGTCTTAGCTATCTGTTGTTCACCTTTATGTCTGAACTCTTAACCATGATTAACCTTAAACAGTGACTCACTGACACAGGCCACATTCAGAACCACAGCTGACTAACTAAAACTGTGATCAAACTACAGTTAAAACTGACCACTAATTACAGTTCAGACACAATGTTAAACTGTGGTTTACTGAAAGCAGAAGTGAAAGCTTTTGATTGACTTGCAACTATACCCTAAGTGGGCCACACACTCAAGGGTTGTGTTTGTAATAGTAAATCTTAGTTAGAAAAGGTGATTCAGTTTAGCACAACAGCAGCTGGTTATACAAGACCTGTAAACATTGTAAAGTACAGTTAGAATTTGCAGAGCAGTAGTAGCAAATTATCTTCAGTTCTTATGAGGTAAAAAGTAGCCATGTTAAAATAAACTCCCTACAAACATGGTTTTCACGAAAAAGAATGTATTCCCTTTTTATCTGTGGACAAAAGACCTGTGAGGCAGGTGAGAAAAGCACTATGAGCAGAGAGACTTGAGCCACATGAGAATAATATGTTCAAAAGAGATGATACCTGTGGTTATGTGGTCCTACCTGAATAATATCGTCAGTTCCTCCTGCAACAGATTTTGTTTTCAGTTCTTGAATCTCCTTCTCTAATTCTAGGATAAAGAGCATTTCCCTTCAAGTCAGGATCATTAATTGTTACATTTTGATCAATGCTACATTAATATCCACAATTCAATTTCTTTATTATCATATTCAAGGAAGGTACCCACACAATTTCTCCAGGATTCCTGAAATAACTTTTCTTATGACTTCTCTGCAGCTAATATAACTGAGGGCCCTCCCAGATCCCCCTCCTGACATGCCTCCTGCTATGTTGCTTAAAGATAAACCCAGTTTCAGTAGGGTACCTGCACATCTTGATTTCACTTTCTGCATAAGCATCATTTGCTTCTTTGCAAATTTGATAAGATCTTCTTTTGGCAATGTGTCCAGCTGTAAAACATGTAGACATAGATTTTAAACTGCAGTTGGCAATACTGAACACACACGAAGAAACTCTGATGGCTCTCTTCTTCAGATAGTATTCTACCAGCAAAACACCATCCAAGTCATTACTCTAGGCATCTACAAAGAACTCTAAGACATGGGTCACAATTTGTGAAATGATCAGCCCATTTTCTTTCTTACGGACCTACCAACTGGAAAGTGCCTCTTGTTAAAGTAACAATGAACGGATACAGGAGCATAGCCCTAGAAAACGTTATAGGCCTATGCATTTACTCTAGTCATGATGGTGCTTGATTCTGGCCCTTTAAAACTCAGAATTCACTTGGGTAGTCCTGCCTGCATGTATTCACTATTGTTAGTGGCATTCTGGTCTGGAAAAGGGAGAAGACTGCTGCCCAGGCTCAGCAAGCCAGGCCACGATTCTCAGGGCTTTCAAATTTGGAAGTTGCTGCCTGGATTACGCACAACAGTGCTCTCAAACTGCTGTAGTCAGTTACTTCAGAAGGGGCCAATATATAATTACATTGAAAATATTTACAGTACAAATGTAACTGTTCAAACCAGACAATTTCCAGAGGTCCAGGCCACACACAACCATCCCTGGGCTTTTTTGTGTCACAACTACACCCACAATCCCCACTTGCTATTTTTTTTACCAAAATGTTAAGGGGGGGGTATTGAAAAAGGCCCCTTTTGCACCCTCTGGTGGCCAACAACAGTTTTTAAGTTGTAGTAGTGTTTACAGCATGAAGCCCCAAGGTGCTGAAGGGTCTCAAAATATAGTTGACTAGCCCCTACCAAAGGGCCGAATGCTGTTAGAAAGTACATTTCCTAACCTGCTACATGAATCAGCAATAAGGAAAATACACTTCCAGTCTGTTACATGAATGAGTAATAAGGAAATGAAAAGCCAGAGGTGTGTAACAATACATTTGGCTTCTAATTTCCCAGAACACTAGTTGGGATATTTGCTTCCAGTAACAATTTCCAGTTGTACTTGCCAAACAAACTCTTGAGGAAATGAAATATTTGTAAATAACTGCAATGACTTTTCCTTTCTGCCAATAAAGGAAAGCAAATACTTGCGTTTGAAAATGAATTTGTTTGCACCTTAAATTCTGCATCAGCTACGTTATTACTATTGAAAGAAGTTATACTCATCAAGAGAACATACCTTTGACTTGCCTGCTGCATGTGTGGAAGTAGAACCCACCAATTCTTGACCACCATCTTGCACCTAAGCGAAAAATATAACCGAGGCACCAGAAAATATTTTTTTCGGTTGTTCCATTCCTAAACTGCCTTTACCCCAAATAAAACTCCCAGGAGTAAAGAACAATACCACAATTTCAAGAACGTATTTAAAAATTTAGACAGTAATTAATTTTAAACAAAAGCATACCCAGCACTGAGCTAGCACTTTACTGCTAAATTCTGGCAGAATAAGCAGCTTTCTGCTGCACAATTCTATATTACGCCTATCCAGAAGCATTCACTAGCATTTACTCACACATAAATGTTCACAAAATTGCAGTCTAGCACTACAATACTATACCTGTTAACTCTGAATTAAGTACCACTGTGTTCAGGGGGACTTAATTTTATCTAAGTGTGTTTAGGATTCCAGCTGCAGTTTGTTTTCTAAAGATGCATAGCATGTTAGTCCTGAGAACATCCTTGAAAACAGCACACTGAAAAGCCTGCCACAGAATAAAAATGTGCCCCCTTTTCGGCAGGGCCACCCATCATCTATATCTTCCCTGTACTAAGTTGGAGATCTTCTACCTTATCAGCTGGCTGATGTTATGCATGTTACTCCAACCAGACAAACTATGATTTATCTAAAACAAGCCAAATTGAAAGTAAGAGCTGTGTAGTCAGATTGCTTCAGCAAACCTGCATCAGCTTAGGACTCAAACAACACACTAAACTGCAGTTATCTAAAATGGAAATAGAGTCTTCTCATCTCTTCCTCATGACTGCATCAGGGAGAAATAGGACAAGGCTAGACTTAGTCCTCTTACAGTAAACCATACTTTATTATGACTTTCAAAAGCAATCTTCTTCATCAGATCCAGATCAAAAAGTAAGCTTCCAAAACTCTTGCTCTTTTGAACAGACTATCATGTGCAGGTTTTTCAGGTTCTCTGTCCCCCCCCCCCCTTGGCTGCTTACATGACTGCATCAGGGAGAAATAGGACAAGGCTAGACTTAGTCCTCTTACAGTAAACCATACTTTATTATGACTTTCAAAAGCAATCTTCTTCATCAGATCCAGATCAAAAAGTAAGCTTCCAAAACTCTTGCTCTTTTGAACAGACTATCATGTGCAGGTTTTTCAGGTTCTCTGTCCCCCCCCCCCCTTGGCTGCTTAATATCAAGGCAAAACTTCTTGATACTCCTGTCTGCACATCTAGTTTAAGATGTCACTACCACACTGATGACAATCGTTCTATAGTATACTGTGAACAGCAGTTGCTTACTACCATCTTCTGGTGTAAGACTTATACCATGATATTAAAGATGTCAACTGGAAAGAAGGACCTACACAGGACTTCTACCCTATGTACTTAATAAAAGTTTAGCTTCATCTCCCCTACTTCCCAATATCTTAAGACATTTGATTATTACATTTAGTTTTGCATTAAATAATAACAGATTCTGTCCTACACTATTTACATCTGCAAAGACTAACACTTGAGTTGTAGGGCTGAGAAAAATGTTTTTGAGATTAAAATTGTGAAACAACATAATTCCACATTGCACCCTTTTCTGTGCAATACAGATTACGATTATAATAGTTACTGTATTTTTCGCTCCATAAGATGCACCTCTCCGTAAGACGCACCAAATTTTTAGAAGAAAACAGGAAAAAATACAGTGGTGCCTCGCATAACGAGCGCCCCGTTTAATGATGAATCCGCATAGCGACAATGTTTTTGCAATCGCTTTTGTGATCGCATAACGATGTTTCCTATGGCGGAAATCGCTTTGCGATGATCGGTAAGCTGTTTCGCTTACCGATTTTCGCATAGCGATGTTTTTTCCCCAGCTGGTCGGCGGTTCCAAAATGCCCACCAGGTAAAACAGGGACGGATTCCCTGCTTACTGGGCACCTAAATTGGCCGCCATATGGAGGATTTTCGCTAAAAGGTAAGTTTTAAGCCCATAGGAACGCTCTGAAGGGATTTCAATGCATTCCTATGGGCTTTTTAATTTCGCATAGTGACGAATCCGTAGAGCGACGATTTTTGCTGCACGGATTATCGTCGCTATGCGGGGCACCACTGTAATCTGTTTTCTTCTCCTAAAAATTGGTGAGCCTTATGAAGAGGTCCATCTTATGGAACACATCCTAGGACCCTTTAGAGACTCACCCTGCCCCCCCGGGGTTCAGAGGGGGTGAAATCGCCACCTTCTGGGACTCTTGAGGCTTGGGAAGCTTCAG